CAGGAATGTTGATCATACATATAGCTTTTACAAATTCTCAGAACACCTCTGCACACTAGTAGGTGAACTTCATACATAGAAGCTGAGATGAAAGTAAAATTTTCCCCCAAATACTGAGGAAATCTGCCCCCAAATAAATGAGCATACTTTTGATTTCTCGTGAATCCAGAGTCTGCAATGAGCCAGCATTATACTTTATTTCGAGACCAAAATGCTCATTTTGGTCTGTGTTCATTCATGTTTGCCCTACTGCTCAACACTGCATCAAAATATCTTCTTATGGCACATGCAGAATGACTATCTGGAAAATGCTCCAACACATACAGCAAGAAAGAATTCAAGCAATGCATATGGTTTTGTTCCTTTTTGAATAGCAGCTTTTTCTCTTTGTGATTATCAAACTGTATTCAGTCCATTGTGCATAGGCAGCCTCCATTACGAGAGACAGGCACATTTTTAATAATTGTTCTGGATTTCTTTTTTAATCCGCTGCCTCCGTCACCACCCACTATGGCAATACAGAGAGTGGAATTTCCTGGCTGGGTTTGTGGCATCTACTGCTTTGAAATGGTTTGTATGTCAGTACTGGCAGCATAGCACAGCCTGATAGTGTTTCCTTTGGAATTTTTCTTTTTGCAATGCCCTAAAATTAAAGGTACAAACAGGTATGCAGTCAAGTAGAAAAAACCTGTATCTGTTTTTCCTGTTTTCTGGTAGCCTGAGTAAGTTCTTCAGAGACTGTTTAGGCTGAAATATACCCTACATCAGGATTTTATTTTATGGGGCAAATACTTAAAGACTTCAATGCACCATCTTATTCATCTTCTTACTGCTACATGGTACTATAGATCCACACAGAGTAGATCCCCAATTGTGCCAGGTATTGCACTGATTACACAGTATAAATAATCTTTTTCCCAAGGCACCTGTTATCTTTGACATCCAGCCTACATATGCACAGGAACAGAAGATTATTCTCATTTGGGTACTTTTGTATGCTCTCAACTCTTTCTGCAATGGAGGCAATCTTTTAGTGCCCATGCTTTTTCCTTCTTTAAATTCTTTCTCTCCAATAACTACCATTGGCAAGGGCATTGAAATGAATGCTAGTCGTTAAAAATATTTTTAGTGTGACACATAAGCTAATGGACTTCTGGAAGATGCTTTGTGATGCTCAGTCGGAAAGCAATAGAAACTGTTATCCCTTTTTGATTGATCTACCCTCTTCCTAGTTATCACACTCTTCCTGGTTTACTGTGCACAGTCAGCGCCCTTATCTAATTCAGCGACAGTTCTAATATCTGTACTTCTCTCAGGACTATTACTTAAGTCTGTGATAACAGACAAGGTATTTGGCATCTTGTACCACTGGTGTGAAGATAAGACAGACAAAACACAGCTCGCCAACCCACAGTGACATAGAGCTCTAGATATGCTGAAGGCACGATACAGAAAGTGCAAGCCCTCATAATGGTATATAGTCTGAAAAGCTGAAAGCAAAGGTCAAATAAAGAAACAGTTCTTGATGACTTGCATGTCGCGTGGTGAAAGGAACAGCTGCTATGAGAACAGCATTTGAAATAAAGGTCTTTTAAAATGCTCAGTAGTTCAATGGCCTCTAGTTTGGTAACATATACCTTTAAAATTAAGCCCAACAGCAGACAAATTATTCAGGGAAGGAAAGAAAAAACCAAGTGTATTGGTATAGCACAAGCGGGGGAGCATGGTGAATATGTAAACTGACCTGATACTTTTGAGAAGTATGCACCTGTAGCTGAGACCTCTATGTTTGTCACTGGTCATCTGAGAGGAGAGGCAGATGGTGACTCTGTCGGGGCAGCTACAGAGCCACGCAGTGCCATATTGCCCCAACGCCCCAGAGGAGCACAGGGCTACCCTAGTCTGAGCACTAAAGCAACAGTTTTGAATTTCCTTTCTCTGTTTGTCTCTGGGAATTGTTCAGTTTTGCAGTTAGCTAATGAAATCACCCTTTCATATCGGGTGGTTTAAAATCTGTGTCAGAGATCATGGTTATAATCCTTGTTTTTAATGGAAAAGGGCAGAGAGAGGTCATTAAGTGACCTCGTGGCAAGCTGAAAGATCATTTTGTCCTCTCAGGCCCAGAAGCCTTAACTGCCTATTTTCAAGAAAGACTCAGTAATGTATTTCTCTGAGTGAGCATTTGGGTAAATGTGATGCAATTATTATTTCTCTGAAACAAGTGACCGTATAGAAGAGTGTGCTTAGCATAGTATAAAGGGAGCACATTTAAAAATGAAATTAACAGTGCCTGAGATTAAAACACAAAATTGTCTACATGGATGACCACAATGGGTGAGATCCAATATGAATTTCCAACTCCCTAGCTATTCTGCATCAGCTCCTAATGTGAGTGCTCTCACTGCATACTAAAAGGTGTCTTATTCCCCCCTCCCTGTGCCTGATGGTTGTTCTCCTGTGCCCATTTGTACCAGTTCATTCCTAGGGTAACCCTATGGACCTGTATCACTCTGTGGTTAATGGCCAGACACATTTGGGATGTCATTTGCCAAGCTATAGTCAGAATAAATGTACATTTAGTGGGATGGGAGATAGGAAACTGGGGTTTAAACATCCAATAATACTGAGAGATTAACTCGCTAAACCTACCTAATACTATCTCAAAAAACATGTGAATAAAAGACTACATCATGGTATTGTTGAAAGTGAACAGCAGAATCTTACTGGTTCAGTAGTAAAAATGCTTAGTTTTGGCCATAAGGTTCCTTTTTGGTATTTTTCATAAAAGAGCTAATTCAACTGCATATGAAGGTTTTGAGACAAGAGGAAACAAATCTTTCATTCGTTTCATAGCAGTGTCACACTGTGGAGTTGCGTAGTGTTCCTGGCTCGCCTCATGTGAAGCAGAATGTCAAGACAAATACTGTGGTTCAGATGTGAATCCAAGAGATGAACATGTGTATGAAAGTAACATCTTGCTATGCTGAACTATGAAACAGTGTCTGTGTATGTACATTCTATGTATATGTGTATTTACAGTCCTGTACATTCTGTCTCGATTTCACCTTTACTGCAGTGGGAAAGAACTTTGGCAGAGGTTTGGGAATTTCTATGGTAGTGTGCTTGGACACTGAGGCCAATGGAAGGTGGGTTATTTTCGTTTTAATGGGATTGAAATTTTCAGCTTTCTGGTTGCTCTTTGGCAGACCCAATGCTATTTGCAAACATCACCAATCCATTATGCATTTTAGTCCTAACAGAAGTTTAAAAACTACTTTCAATTAATTTTAAAACTCGGGGTTTAGATTAGGAGAATAGAATACTCTTGCTTGGTTTTCTTGCTGTTTGTTTTATCTGCCCCAGCTCTCAGAAAACTAATTAGCTGATAAAAAGAACGAGTATAATTTCACTTGGGTGTGTTCACCTCTGAAGATGAGCAAGGAGACTGCAGACCCTGCTTTTAAAAGACACACATTTGTGTTGTTAGTACTAAATGCATAATGAAACCACACACAGTTTTTTAAGTTGCTATAGCTTTGACCTTTCAAGGCACTCTGAAAGATGACACTGTCAATTCCGTGCCATTAGTCATATGCCTAAAACTAACATGTTCCTATCTTTCAAGAATCAAGGATTAAGAAAGGAAAGCAGTGCTTCTAGGCAAAGCAAATTATGGCCAGAATTACTCTAGGAAGCCATCGATAATCTGAATTATTTCTATTATATAACAGATGTTGTTAAATATGGAAATTCTTATAAAGTATACCACTAACACAGCAGCCATTCTTGATAGTATTTCAGACACCCTTCTAAGAAATGACCGTGATTTCCTCTTGTATTGAGATCTGTGGGTGAACAGTGATAATGCTTTGCAAATGATGGCGTGCAAAAGCTCATGTGCAGTATGTCATAGCAAGGGCCTCAAGTGCTATGGAATCCTACAGCTCTGTACACCAAAATTCCATTGCCTGCGTTCCTCTACAGGCACCAGAGAGGCTCCATGCTCTTACAAACAATTCCTGTAATACAATTAGATTACCAAATCATAATACATGTGTACACACATATATCACCTTCTGTTACCTATTTACATTGAAAAAAACTATCCATAGATCACAAATAGGGCTTGCTAATCACTAAGTCAAAAACACAGCAACATCTCAGAACTTACTCTGCTTTTACTCCCCAAAATTTGTCACAGTGCTTGTAACATTCTCTGGAGCACTAGCTTGTTCTCTAAATGAGAGTATCATGTTAATGTGTCTTACATCAAGATGATCTTTTACAGCCCTTTTCTTTTTAGCAAGAATGATAATAATTAGTACTTTTTATGCTGAAAGCACTGTAAGGGAAAAAAAACGAGAGACACCATTTCTTGTTACAGGCAGTCTCTTTCTCCTGCCACCTCTTCTCTCTAGCTCCCTGCCCAAATCCTGTCCTCCATATTTGAATAAAGGGAGAAAGAAGGGAGAAATGCTGGTAGCAGGTAGAACAATTATTTGCATCCTGAAAATTGCAGCCTATTTCTTCCCATGAGGAATGGCCTTTTAGATAGATCCAGCCACATGTAAAAGCATGTTGGTCAAGTATACCCGCTAAATTGACTAGCTGAGAAATATTTAACAAAATTGAGAGGATTTTTTGTTAGTAGATTTAAGAATAACTTTTCAAGGAGAAAAAGAGCAGCTCATGTCCCTTTAGAGATATTGATCACAATCCTCCTTCCCTGTGATTTCACCCATCTTTTCAATCTATCTGAAAACTCAGTATACTATCGCTGTATTAGTTAACCTTCAGAAGGGTACCTGCGTTGCCTAAAGAGCTGGAAACTGTTTTTTATTTAAATGAAAACTTAAATTCTGTACGATACCTCAGGAGTGCTTAAATTATACAGAGGGACTGGAAACCTATCCTGGATCACTGGAATTTCAGAAGCAAACGTATTCGATAGCCCTTGGCATGACTTTCAAAGGACCATGTTTAGATGGTGCTTAGTAACTGTGCACACTAAATCTCAGGTCTTACTTATATGATGCATCATACCAAATCCTTGGACAGTATATGTATGAAAAATAAGACTCTTCTTAACCAGATATTATCTGTATTTCCATCCCGGCTCGGTAATGTGTGGATTTCAGAGAGGCTACAGACAAATGTGAGCTCTGGTATTTTACTTTGCATAGCTGGGTTAAACACTGAATCTTGTAAAATGCTACATTGATGTTTGTGGCTGGACTGAGATCAGTGCTGTCCCCATGTGCCTTCTCAAACACAGCATTAGGAATGCTACGCTTCCTTTTAAGTCAGTCTGCATTTCAAGCCTGCACCAAAATGATCTCATTCACTCTTCCATGCCATATACATTTTTCATAGTATAAAAATTCCCTGCCCAAACAAGAGCAGGTTTAGTATCAATAACTTGCCTTCTCTTTATTAAGCCATTCACCGCCATGCTGCTATAAAACCTTCTACCCAGCAAGGAAAGCTGGCTGGAGCACTACAGTCTAAACAGCTAGAAGGTAACACTGAGCAGATGGACTAAAGAGTATAAACAGTGAAAACTTGTACTTTTTAGTTTCAGAGCAAATGCCCTGTGCTGGCAGGGATTCTCTTCCCGCCAACTCTAGTGATATTAAAGTTGAGAGAGGTCTTTTTGCAGCTGTTTCCCTTAATTACCTCTATTCCTCCAACCCCTTGCTATCATGCCTTATTTACTGTCTCCCATCATTGGGTGAGTTATAGAGACTGCAAGGAGTCTTTCTCTATACATAGAGTCTACTGCAAGGAGAATAATCCAAAATGCTACTCACCATACAGGGCTTCAAGCTGAAAGCAGAGGACACAGAAAGTTACAGCAACCGTCTTCATGCTTGCCTGACACAGAGGCATCAGCCTTCTGTCTACTGTGAAGATGGGGAAGAATTCATGGGTAGAAAAGGAAGTGGTTTGTGGGCAATAGGGGAAATTATATGATAATCAGAAGGACTTTTTAATTTAACCCCTGACTACGTTATAGCTATGTCAGCATTAGCTGTCGCCCACACCTGCTTTTTTATTTTTCCTACCTCACGGCTTGCTGTCACAGACAGGAAGATGAAAGATTTTCTGACATTACGTTTGATGTTCACTTATGCAAACGCTGTTTCTGGTTAAATCTATCACGACAGAGGCTATAGTCATCTACAGTACACTTCCTGCAGATGGCCCATGGTCAGCAACTTGTTCCTTAAATTAACTAACAATACGTACATATTTGCAACTGGCCACCTGGTTTCTCCCCACCAGTTTCAGCTGGTCTTATGTAACTGATGGTCTTGCTCTATGTGGAAACCATTTGTCAGCAGAGTAGGAGTCTCTTGTGTGTCCTGGTCCTGGAATTCATTGGAAGAACATGTCCAAATCGCAGAAGGATCTCCTCAGCCCTGTGACCTTCTGAAGGCTCAGTCCGATGTAAGAATTCCACCCTGGAGGTCAGGCTTGCTCTGCATGGACATGGGAAACTTCATGTGGCTCTGTGAGAGGAGGAGATCTGACCCCGAGCCCTTGGGCCTTAGGTCAAAAGTTTCCTTCCCTCTCCCTGTTTTTGTGCAGCATACTCTGCTCTGGCCTGCTATCCATCTGTATTCTGGGAATGTTTTATGACCCTTCGGGATAACACGTTCTACAATAATTTAGAACTGGCTATTTATTTATGCCTGTAATACTAATTTTAGTGCAGATAACATGCTGGAAAAGCAGCTTCTATATCATATTTAATATAGTAGATGGAGTTAGCATTTCCAATTGCACAAAGACACAAAGGACTAATAGTGGTGCCTGACAAACGCTCCTGGGGCTGAGTCCTTGTAATGGTCATGCACTGGCACCAAATAATTTGTAAATAACAGGATTGGGTTACAGATTCACTCCTACTTTGTACTGTGTGAATAAATTGTCACGTGTTGGTTTACTTTTCCTCAAAAAGTGATTTAATTTCTTTCACTACTATTGCTAAAGATCTGTTCACATGGACACTGGCAGAGAGTTCTACTCTCTTCAAATCTTGGCAAAGCCCAGCAAATCTTTGCCTTTTGTTAAAATAAAATCAGTGCTAAGCCTGAGTCAAGTCAGGATTTGGTGTAAATTTTCAGCTCTGGTCTCTGGAGCCAAACTTAAGCAACTCTAACTAGAGAAAGTTTCTGAAGTACGCTTTTAATTCTGAAGCTTAATAGTAATATATGGAGATTCAAGCAATGATAAAGCTGAAAAAAGATACATCTGACTCCTGAGCTTTGCCTGTGAAGTTATGACCCATGTTGGGATCTACTGAGATTCCAGGTAGAACCATCTTTCCCATCCCCCATAACAACTTATGGGAAGTGCTGAAACAACAGAGCAGCCCTCTCCTGGGACAGGACCTTTATTGCCACCCAAGTAAGCATAGGACAAGCACCCAAGAAAGGCTTTTAGTAAAAAGCGCTGCTGCTGCTACAAAATTAAGGAAGGAAGAGAATCATGTGTAAAGTACCCCCAAAGTACCCCCACCCACAACTTTGGGAGAGCGTGCTGACAACACACCAAAGATCGAGATCCTACAAAGCATAGCGCTGGCTGGGGAGGCCAATAAAGGTGTAGGGGAATGCACCCCTTTGAGCAGTGTCTTAGCTATTTTTTGCGAAAACAAGCTTTAAAACAAATCAGTATTGTTAGATCTTGCTACAACAATTTGAGCAAGTCCCACTGTCCACTAAACAGTTTGTATTTGTCCTCTCTTTCACCTGTCTTTATAGCCTCAAGTCTGGAATTACCCCTTCTTCTATTCTGCTTCCTGGCACTTGGGATTGCTGGAACACACCGCTCCCTTTGTTTCAAAAGGACCCAGGGTATACTTCAGGATACCTTTGGTAGCACTCTGAAGTTTGATCTAGACAGTGATTTCTTTGGGTGGTCAAGTGTATTTGATGATGAGCCAGCAGAGCCTGGGGCACTGTGTATGCGTATGTGTATGTTCACAAGCAAAGAGAGACAAAGTCTAGCTCCAGGCCGAGTATGAGGGATGCTCACCTTCTAGTCCCACACCAACAGAGACTCCTCTGTTGCCTTTCAATCTTTCTGTCTTTGCCTCCCTCCTCTGTCAGAGCTTACCTACTTCACAAAGACATTGTGACTGCAATTCAGAAATGTTTCTTGCAAATACTACGGTTGGTTACAGTTAACCACCTGGGACAAGCAGTCTGTTTCCACAACACACTTCCTATAACTGCAACTATTTTTGCTCACAAACACGTGTTTCCTTTTTCCATCCTCACTCATTTCTCTTTGTCTTGATTTTCACTCTCTCATCCACATACGCCTCTCAGAGCTGACTTCTTTCCTCCTCTAACCTGACTGTCCCCCAGTCCCTGTCTACGGTTCCACTCAAGCAGAGGCTCCCCTTCAGCATGTGCAGTAAATCCTTTCTGGAATGTGGCTTCTCCTTCCCCCAAGCCCCATTCTTTCTTCATGTCTTACCCCCAACACTACTCTACAGTGATAAACTCCTTTTTCTCCTATCACATTGCTTCTGACTTGCCATCACTAACTATTAACAACCTGGAAAATCCTTACGGGCATTTTTTTGCCTTTAAAAATGCATCCAGTGATACACCCAGTTCCAAAGAGAAATGAGCTTGCTTATCCCTTGGTCGATACACCAGTCTTCTCTAGCATGCAATTTTCAATGCTTCTCCCTTCTAACTCCAAGCGACTCGGAAAACAACACTTCTGCTGCTTCCCTAAGGAGACTGATTCATAGCAGATTTTCCCTATGGTGCATGTTGTATATTTTTCTTTGCTCTGTTTAATCACATAACTCTTACTATATTTACTGTTACCACCCCAAACAATGTCCATGTTAGCAAAATGCTACTGCATTGTTTGCCATGAAACAAAGGTTGTGCTTACATTGAAGTAACTTGTTCTGTCTCACCAGCAGTTCTCCACTTCTGCTTGTGGATGATGAGCAGTTGCCCACAGCAATATAAAATATTCTCTCAATAAAATGTTTTGTGATTCTTTCTGCAGAGGCAGCTGCAATCTATCCACAGAAATTATATTCTGCTGTCTCCTGCTGCTTCTCATTCTTTGCTTCAATATCTGGCCTATATTCTCATGACTCTAGGTCATTCCCTCAGGGCTGGAGCAGAAAGCCTCCACACTCACGCTTTTTTGTTTCCTGTCCTCCTAATTGAGATGGGGAACAATGACTTTCACTGTACTATTTTTAAGGTTCTGTGACGGCTTTAAATCCCACTTCCCATCTGCATCACTCCCTTTTAGGTGTGTAAACAAGCTGCAGTCATTCAAGATATAGAGATTTCAGCCTGAAATGCGGCTCAGGTGCTCCCTCATTTGTTCTGATGCCTCGTTTGCCTTGGTCTGATGTCTCCCACAGGCCCGTGGGGCATGCTGTAATATTGTCTCCATCAATGTGCCACCAGGGCTCAGCTCAGCAGTAGATCTAATGAGACAGTCCCTGTTGGGGTGTGAGTGTGTGTGGCTTTGCTTCTTGGTACAAGCTTGGGTACCCCATGAATCACTTTTTTTTTTTTTTTTTTTTTTTTGATGATGCTTGAGAGTATTTCATTGCCATTGACTTTCCTAAAAGAAGAAAAAAATATGTATGTTAAGGAGTCAAGCCCACATCTAACACAAGTAAGGGCATTGACTTATACATTCAGTCAGCAGGCACTAAGTGGCAAATTCAGTCTGACTAAACAGGTTGTCCAGAGTGGTGGTAGATGCCCCATCCCTGGAAACATTCACGGTCAGGCTGGATGGGGCTCTGAGCAACTTGATCAATTATGAGGATGTCCCTGCTTATTGCAGGGGGGTTGGACTAAAGCTCCCTTCCAACCCAAACCATTCTATGATTCAAAATGCCACTTCAGACCCTGTGACTAATGTTTTGGACTGGCTGGCTCAAGGCACTGAGAGCCATCTAGGCAAAGACTGTCCATCTGGTCTCAGGAGCTACTATGCCTCTGCGTATCCAGCCCCGTGCCTGCTGCAATAGTTACTTAAAGAGGTACCTAACCACTTCTCCAGGACACAGAGTATAGGTAGGAATGGACCAAGGAAGGTCATGTGCATATGCTGGTGGTGTGGGCCGCAGAATTTTGGGATGGCTGTAGAAGGTTTGCTATTGTTAATAACAACAGCAAAGACAACAACCATGTTCCCACCCTTCAAGGTGTACTGGGAAGAGGACTTTGAGAAGTAAGTATCTTTCAGTGGCATATACCTGAGTATGCAGGGGTTATTTAGGAGAATACTTGGGTTGTAAGCAGCCTGGGTTCACGAGCAAAGTGGGACTTAGCACCAGTGCTGCTTATATCTAGGTTCAGAAGGGAGGTCTTCCAGAATGGAGAGCAAAAATGCAAAACCCAAATGAAGTGCAAACCTGGGGACCCAGACTGTTACTGTCATGCCACTTCTAGAGCAGTGCATGCCAAATACATGCTGATGAGCTGGGTGACCATGAAAGTTATTCTGCTTTTGGATTTGAATTTATTGTCTTTTGGGTGTGACAGCGATGAATTAAACACATTCTGTGAACTTTTCACACCCCAACTGTTTCACAGGTTGTAGTAGGATGGGAACTCCTGTTATGTGGTTATCTGGTCAGCTGTCTCAGAGGAGTTAGGGCTGAAAGAGCCACATACTGTGGTGGTACTTGGGGTTTGTGGTGTGATTTTTATCTCGGCATTGTTGTGATTACTTTTTAAAGGTAAACTTTTGCTACCACTGTGTTTACAGTGTAAAAAAGGGGAACTTTCTCCAGCAGAAACAGCCCCCAAACTTATGATGCATTCCAGCAGATAAGAGCTAAATCAAACGTCATGCTGAAAA